CTGAACGTCCGCTCAATGCACTTGTTGCTGGGATGCAGAGAATCATCCTTGCCACCTTGGCAAGCAGAGGGAAGGCCCTTGACTGCGACTCCCAGAAACGTAGAAGATCATTCCCATCCCACAAGAACTGGCTGTCAATGTAGCCCTGAACCTCGTCTTTCTCGCCATCTTCTTCACCATAATCCTCCCACTCGCTGAACTCATCCCTTTTTCTTTTGGCTCTCTCAGGTTCCTCAACTAAAAAATAAAATGGAATAATATAGTTTTACTATTTTGATTTACATTTACACTGTAGGAAATTGTTGATAAATAAACCATTGTATTAATACGCTGTTATAAGATTGGGCCTATAGAGTATTTATTATCAGGCCTATTATTATTATTAGGCCTATTATTCCCTGACAAGTCGTCTGGCCTGGTCGTGAACAGCGTTTCTCTCCTCAGCTGGAAACATCTTGAGGGACTTGAAACGTGGACAAAGCGCCCCAAGCTTGTGGGTGACGCCGATGGACAATTTCTCGTTTAAGAACTGCATTGGCCAGGTTGCAGTGTTTCTTCAGTTTATAAAACCAAAGCACCACTAGTTGAATAGCTGGATACTTGTCACCTTCCAGCTCTTCACTCGCAGTTTTAAAAAGCAACAAGAACTCAGTGATCGTGTTCAACACGTCCAGCTGAATGCCATCCAGTCTGTCAAGCTGATCTTTCTCTTCCATGGCTTGTTGGATTTCACGGTACTGTTTGCTGACTGACTGCATCATTGCAACTTTACTGTTCCACCGTGCAGTGTTGCCAACTTGGCGACTTTAAAAAGGCATTGCAGCTCAACTTACAGTTGTGTTTCAGTACATTTTGTACATACTGTTATCATAATTATTATTACTATAAACTATGTTAATTTAGTATGCCTCTTTAATATTTCAAGTGATCTACAAATACACCTCCTTACTATATTTAGTGCTTTTAAAGTGTCCCACTATGACAATGATAATGTATTTAAAGTGAAGTTCAATAACAACCTAAACATCATAGACACATACTTTAAGTGTGACGTTATTATAGTGTTTTCTTGAAAACAATTGTGTTTGTTAAACTTAAGAATAAATGTTGCTATTATACTACAAGTGTATTATATTTCAATACATTTCAAGTGCATTACATCAACAGATTACAGATTGCATTTCAGAAAAGGAACTTTATTACACTTCAAACTAAAATACATAATTCAAGTAAAGGACATATAATGGTAATAACACAATAACAGGAACATAATTACCCATCACCATTCTGTGCCATCGATCTGAAGAAGAACTAGAACTGACACAGAGGAGAAAACAACACAAACACACAAGAAAGATGATACACTAATGCAAAAGCAGATATTGCAAAGCACCAGCAAACAGCCTTTAACTTCAACGAACAACATCTAACTCTGATTATGAGATAAGGCCTTGTAGCTCTCATTGTTGCACTTCCTCCGTAGAAGGGCCCGGATCTCGGTCACCTCTGTGTTGGGGAATCGCTCCCTCACTGCATCTGTGAAAACAGGAAAGAAACATGGGCATGAATTAAAACAAGATAGACAATGTATAACATTGAAATACAATCATTGATGATAATGGATTTGTCAATTAATCATCACAATGATTGTGTATTCATAATTATGACACTACTGTAGCTATAATTGCGTTGGTTTTTTCTGGCTCAAGCTGCTCCTTCAGCTCGCCTTTTTCCCTTTCCCTGTGAGGATTGCCTTGGCCAAAGTTTCCCTTCCAAACACCAATGTGGCCAGTTCCTGTGTAAAGAGGGACATCCTCCTCCCACTCAGCCTCTGATAGAGACGTTTTGGGACTTGCACTGATGAGTTGCTCAATGACATCTGTGAAAACACACAAGCAGATTAAGACAAAAGGTACATTACAAACACTTCCCTAAAGGGCAGGATGGCACGTGTCTTGGCTTCAAGTGTTTTAGTTAGTAATTCCAGGATCTTGTAAGATTTTTTTTGTATGCTTATTGCACTCAATCATAACAAAGATTTTGCAAAAATAGCAGTAGTTTCTGCAGTGTATGATTTCGCATTTATTGAATATTACAACCCGCAAATGCAGCAAAATCCCTGAATTTGCATGAATTGGTGAACATGCAAGATCCTTCAGTCATACCATGTCTTCACTGCCAGTGTCACTGCCAGTGCATGGTGAGTCGCTTTGGCTGGAATTCATGGAAGAAGGTGAATCTGCCATTTTGTTTAGGACGGTTTTGAGTGAAGACACCAGTCCTGGCAGCCCTAAAACAAGGACACAGTATCACATTATGACACAAAGAATAAGTATCACATTGTGACAGAAAATAGCACATATATGAATGTCATTTCACAAGCGCTAGATCTGATTTAACTGTCATTTTTTTCTGATTGGATGAGGATCATTACTCATACTTTTCACCGCTAGCATGCATGTCTGACATGAATGTTCCACTCACTCAAAGCCATTATTGAGTGAGAAGATGGAGTAGGGCAAATGTTTAGTATAGCATGTGAAGTATAGAGAAGCACAGGGTTCCCATGTTAAGTCAAATGTAAAATTCCATGACTTGAGTTCCCCAGACAAAAAAATGAACTTCCATGACCTACTATGAATGGTACAATAAACTGACCAATGATTTCAGAGTAGCCTCATAGCGTTCAAGCATCTTTTACTTTTTAGAGTGGGAGATGAATAAATGGGCATTGAATTTGAATTGAAGTTGGGTTAACCACAACTACTCAAGCAAGCAGTAAAGCTAATAGCCAGATATACATTGATTTTGTGTGGAAATACAGTACATTTGTATTAATAATACATTTTAAACTGCTAAAACAAAATTCCCCAGCATTCCATGACTTTGCCCCAAAAATGATCATTCCCTGACCTTTCCTGAAAATCCATGATATTCCAAAAATTCCATGACCTGTGGGAACCCTACAAGCAACTGCTACACATTCTTGTGTGAATAAGACCATATAGCCTGTCTCACTGGACCCTTCTCTTGATTGATATATTGCAATGCTTGGCAACAGAGATGGAAGATTAGAACTATTTCTTGGAGTGGATGAAATAAATAAATAAATAAATCTACATAAATGATTGAAAACACAATTTGATATCTTAAACGTGATGGAAGTGGAACTGATGTATAAAAGCAATATGGCACTTGTGGTCATGGTATTGGTACAGATACCAAAGTGCACTATTATATGCATGTCAGCACCAATAGGCTATCATCCACCAGTGTAAACTCTGACAATTCTCTGGGGAACACTACACATTATTTGATGAAGGTGGTTACCGGTTTACGTTTTTGGGTTGATCAAACATGTCGCAACACGTGTCGTCGGAATCAGACTCGACTTGTGCTGTACGTTGCCGTTTGAGGTCCCTCTTCAGCACCTCCTCCATCTTGGCCATCTGTGAACCAGACTGACAACGTACATCTTGTTTAAGAGAATGATTTTGAACATTCCCACACAAACCAGCAGACTTTAAAGGGGAAATCCAGCGAGTTTTCACAAAGATCTCCGTTTCTCGAGGTCACCGAGTTCTGTCGGTACAAAACAAAATGAAAACAATCAGTTTTACCTAGCTCGAGTTGCTACAACCAGCAGCTAACACAGCCAGGCAGAGATGTATGTGAAAACTCACCGGATTTCTCCTTTAAGTAACTGTAGAGACTCCTTTTTTAATAGCTTTAATAGTGCATTTCTTCATATAGCAACTACACCACACTTTCCAAGAATCCACCTCCATCCATCACTCTGATAGTATTTGTAACAGGAGACTTAATCTTGACTTAACATGCATGGCATTACAAAAAAGCTAACTTGATTTGTTTCACAGTCTTTTAAGTAATATTTATCATTTGAAATTTAGATTTGCTGGCTAAAGCTGCTGAATGCTTGTGCACCCAGCTTGGAAAAGTCTGCAAAAATGTAACTCCCATGGCAAACACATTCTACGATGCCACAGCATTATTATTTGTAAAGTGGAATCACAATGCTCCATTACTCTTAAGTCATAAATCAAGCTTACGCTCATTCCTTCCTTCATCATCCCCTTCTCCAAAGGAAGACCATACATCCTCCCCCTGGAGGAAAGCAACACGCTTCTCGACCACTTCTTTGTAGTTTTCTGTGAAGACCCAATATTTGCTTTGAATGACTTCATAGACAGAGTTCATTCTAAATGCAACAACTTTCAATGACTTGTTTCAAACATTACTGTTCACAATTAACTTAACAGGAAACAAATAAAATACAAATTCCATGTGACCTTTTATTCATTTCAAGACAGGAATGTCACTGTCATTTCATTTATTTGTATTTTATTACTTTCATCAGTCTTGTTCCTTAACCAAACTAACATTTGGCTCACAATGTACATTAGCACTCCTTCAGGTGAATAATACAATTAAACACATTAACCAAAGCTAGGCTTAGCTAGCGGTTAGCGTTCGCGCTCTTTTCAGTATTAATACAATGAAAGTTGAAGTTGTTCTCTTATTTTGCACAGACAGTGTTTACATTTGGAAAGCCGTGTTGCATTTCTGTTATGTTACAAAGAGTATTTCAGAATATTTCCATTGTTTTAGAACTTACCCACCAAGAACAGGAGTTTGGCTGCGACCGGCTTCCGTAATATCGCCTCTATCCAGCCATGCTTGGACTGGAGGTCTTCCTTGCAGGTGACTAATACCTAACGTTACATTTCTATATGCATCCTGTATAATAGATGTACTATCTGTAATAACGGACCCATCTACGAAGTAAAACAACCCGTACATTGTGCTAAAGTTAAGTTACCCTGTTACCGAGTATCAGTGATGAATTTCAAATAATAACTGTCAATGTATTTGGATACGTTGTGGCAGCACGGACGTAATTTGGGGGGGACACAGGGGACACAGGGTCCCCTGCACTTTTTCAAAAGGCCGTTTTGGTCATAGACATATATCCATATATATATATATGGATATACCAAGGATGTATATATATTCATATATATAGGTCTATGGTTTCGGTCCCCTGCAGTTTGTACCGTCCAAAAACAATGTTACGTTATAGTAAACAGAGACTCGTCAAGCACTAGGACCAAGCGGAAAACGGCCGCTCAGCTGAAGCCTGTTTCCCTGAGTTTAGACCCGCCCACAAGCTCCTCGATTGGCTCTGCTGTTTGTTGTGTGATTGGCCGTCCCCGCTGTCACTCCATCTTGCTTGCACACCGGTCTGCTGGAGTTGCCCAGGTAACATCAGAGGTTTCATTTACATTCACGTTTGAATCGGTGTCCATGTGTGTATGTGCGTGTGTGTGTGTGTGTGTGTGTGTGTGTGTGTGTGTGTGTGTGTGTGTGTGTGTGTGTGTGTGTGTGTGTGTGTGTGTGTATGTGTGTGTGTGTGTGTGTGTGTGTGTGTGTGTGTGTGTGTGTGTGTGTGTGTATGTGTGTGTGTGTGTGTGTGTGTGTGTGTGTGTGTGTGTGTGTGTGTGTGTGTGTGTGTGTGTGTGTGTGTGTGTGTGTGTGTGTGTGTGTGTGTGTGTGTGTGTATGTGTGTATGGTAATTAGGCGCAGCCAGGATGTCTAAAAAAAGAAAAGTGGACATAAGAGACTTCCTTAGAAGTCAAAGTGTAAGTTACTCAAAGAAATGCGTTACACCCATCCTGCAACACCTTCACTGGCTCCCAATAAAGCAGCATATCCGCTGTGTAAATGAGGTCTGTGTACCATATATTCCAAAAAGAAGTGTAAAATTGGTGGTACTGAGTTGGAGTGAAGTTGACTAACAAGGTGAAACACAGAATTGGGTGATAATGTTTTGCTACATGCTTTACAACCAGTCAAACCAAAAAAGGGAACAGTAAACTTAAAAGTAGCAATAGAAAACTAGAAGAACTACTAGAAAACACAGTGAACTCAAAGAGTTAGTGTTTTATTAAAAATACTTGTGTCCCCCTACCTCTGAAATCAAAATGTCATCCTTGTGTGGCAGTGTAACTAATTGCCGCCCAAACTTCTACATAGTGATTGGATGTCGATGATGCTGCGCACACTGATTGGATGTGGGAACCGACCGGTGGGTAGGTCCAATTCCTGGGTCCATTCATAGCCATCTACTGCTTAGTCTTGAATCTTGATCTGTTGCACTGCTCAACAATAATTTTTCAAATACGCCACCTGTACAATCCAAGTACAAGTCCTACTTATTGGTTAATAACAAGAAAATACCAAGGACAACAGAATACAGACACATGAAGGTAATTATAAGTGGTATAATTGTTTTGAATTATTGATATGTTTTTGTTATTATTATTATTATCAGGCCTATTAATATTATTATTATTATGGTAGCCTAGTAGTTGTCCTACTACATCTACCATAATAATAATAATAATAAGAAGAAGAACAGAAGTAGTAGTAATGTTATTAATAATAAATATTAGGCATGATATAGGATAATAACAAGTAGCAGGCTGAGAAATGGAGAAAGCTACCAGATATTCATGATAACTAGTAGGCAAGTATAGGCTAGCTTCACCATCTTACAGGCTATCTATACTGTCTTGAAATTGTCTTTTGTTTCAGGGAAAAGGCAGAAGACGGTACAAGCAGTACCTTTACAGCACTGGCGTTGAAGTCCCTGACAGAATTTTAGAACGTCATGACAGAGAAGTAAGCTAGCCTATGATGATGATAAGTATTTTTTTATGCTTATGATATTGTCTATTGCATGGATCACAAGGTGTGATGAACATTTCAGCCAAATTGCTTTGACACACTGCAAAAACTGCTTATCAAATAAACATAAAAAAGCCTTATTAATCTTATATCAAGATCAAAAAAGTAGTTGGTATTGTTTTCAGTATAAAGAGACTTACCTAACCCTTTCTCGTAAAATCATTTGACGTAATCTACAGTTTGACTTAAGACGTCTCATCCTGAAAACAAGTGAATTTGTCTGCCAGTGCGTTAAGCAAATTTGTCCTAAAAACAAGTAATTTTGTCTCGTAGTGCGTTGAGCAAATTGGTCTTGATAAGACTCCTTCAAATAAGTCCTCTTAAATTTAGCCAAAATGATCTTTCAAGAGAGCCAGGTAAGTCTCTTCATACTAAAATCAATACCAAATAGATGTTTTTATCTTAATAACACTTGGTTAGATTTTATTTTCTGCAGTACACTGACATGGATGGTGATAATTGTTTTTGCTTACAGCCTCCAGCTCACCATGATGCACCACTGCAGTCAACAGCAGGAAAACAGAAGAGTGCTGACAGTAAGGTCAGGACACTGACAATGCATAATTCATTCATTATAGCCTATTGTCTACTCTTTAGTTTTTGACTGGAACAATGTGAGCAACCATTGTTGCAATGCTTAAATTTGGATGGTTTCGTGTAGACAGCAGTAGGCCTGTGGGCCAGTGTATAGACTAATGTAATGAACTGTAACTACCCATTTCTTCTTTGTGTATGTCTGTGGAAACTTATGTCCAGTAATAACAAAACATTCAGTCTTGGAACAATGTATGATATTCACATAAATCATACACCAAAATGTTCAGGATGTATGTGTGTGTGTAATACAATATGGGGTGGAGTGTAGTACAACAACATATCTAGTAGTAGTAACCTATAGGTTAGTGACAATAGTGTGCAGAATTGAAAAACATGCAGGTCAGGACACAGGTAATACACATTTGTTCACTATGTTAGTTTATTGGTATTTCGTATTTAGAGGAACTGACTCCTACAACGTAACAAACTAACCACACACATTGTTCAAATTTCAGAGTGTAATAGTTGGAGCAGGTTGCTTTACTTCTAGTGCTTTAAGATCACACTCAATATCAAAATAACACTAGATTCAGTGACTAACTTCCCACACACTTGTACCAACTTCAGAATGGATCAGCTGCTGAGGACGATGTGGTTAATATAGGAGAGCACCAGACCATGCAAGGACCAGGGGCTGAGAGACCCAACCCAAATCCATCACAGGTAAGATAACAATTACTCACAGGCCAGCATTTGCATTACAGGTTGCTTTACTTCTAGTGCTTTAAAGGAGCATTTCACCCGTGGAAACATTAATATTTATTGAAAGTGGGTTATATATGTAGTCGAAATTTAACATACATTTTGAATTTGGTGCCTATTTGACCGAGAAAAGACAGAAAGTGACTTTAGGGCGCATTTGTATTAAAGACAACAACTCCCACAATGCACAGCTCCGCAAGCCACTCCCACTAACACTATCAAGGACTACAACAACGTGAATGTAAACCATTTATTTATAGAAATATATCAACAACAACAAAAATAAATATGTTAACAATGACAGTTATAGTTCCTCCTGAGCGTCCTCAACTCCTCGGTGCCGCAGTACTGGCCATCTGGAGCTGGATATTTCTGTCGGATAGCCTGCACCACATCAGCGGGTAAAACGACACGATGGCCTCGACCCAATCTCTCGCCTTGCAGGACCCATTCCAGAAAGGCTGTTAGCGATATTGTCTACAAGACATTGAGCACACAGTTAGCGATGCATGGTCTTTGTGTTTAGCGTGCCACAGTAGTTAGCAATGCAACTGCAAGCTGTTTGTGCAGTAAAGAAGCTCACGTTAGTTCAGTTGGCTGACGTTACGTATTAACCGGGAATAACTTTGTGATAATACTTGAACAAATTGTGTACATACGTGCCACGTTGTTATAAGACAGAAAATAGAAACACTCACTTTACAGTCAGACGTCCGTGTGTCCGTAGGCGCACAGCGAGAGCACAGGCACCAGCAGTCCACCCCAGCTCGAGCCAGTCCGGGCTCTTCGTCCGCGACAGGCAGGTCCTCTGCCTCGGCTGCAGAAGCCTCAGCCGCCTCCTGTTCAGCCTCAGCTGCTCTTCGCTATATTGTGGCTCATAAAGGTAGCCATGAACATCTGATTCAACCAACTACTTTAGAAATTTCTTCCATATTAGATTGATTACCATAGTCGTAACGTCTGGCTCGTCAGCGCCTCCGCTTAGCTTCCAAACAAGATGGCGGTTATATTTTTTAGTCCCACCCACTGATCTGTAATAGGTCTGTAGCGTGAGTGAAAAAAAAATGAGGAAGTAGTGTTTGTAGTCTCACCCCCTCTGCAGAGATATGAGACTTCCTGCTTCCAATGACGCAAAATGATGATTTTTACATCATTGGAAGCAGGAAGTGCAACACTAAAATCCTTATTTCTCCCCTCTCAGGGGAAGTGAGGGAATGATGCACGACCATTCAAAAATATGACTGGGGTTCTAATGATACAAAGCTTAATGCAAATGGGTGAAGTGTCCCTTTAAAGGAGTCATATTATGCCCCTTTTCAGGTTCATAATTGTATTTTGTGGCTCTCCTACAATAGGTTTAGATGTTTTAATGTTCAAAAAACACATTATTTTTCTCATACTGCCTACAGCTGAGCACCTCTTTTCAGCCTCTGTCTGAATCGCTCGGTTTTAGCTCCTGTCTCCTTAAGACCCCCCTCCCGAAAAGCCCAGTCTGCTCGATTGGTCGGCATTATGACGCGGCTCATGCGGATGATGCTCTGGCCGCGAATTTACGAATCCTACTATGGCCACGCCAAGTCCCGCCCCTCTGGCTACCTCTGATTGGCTGAGCTCAATGAGGAAGTACGCTACGCTCTCGCGTGTGCTGGTACGGCGAAAAAAAAATGATTTGTGTACTCGTACGCTGCCGTTCCGCGTATCGCTATCGTTGTTGTTATATTGACTGTTTGTTGTTGTTATATAAACTGTTCGTTGTTGTTATCGTTAAAATGCGACTGAATTTGTAGGGAAATTGTGACACAACTCCACAATAAACTTTTATGGGAGCATCACAGTCATGTGCACACCTTTCTTTGGATAGTAAGGCCTAACATCTCTTGGATTCAATTCAATCTTTATTCCTAGGGTTAGGAAACACACAAATCAAAGGCAGGCTTATCGGTCATCACTCATTTCATCATTAGAAATTTTACAAATAGGCTACATTTTACTTTGAGTGAGAACTTGCATAAATAAAACCAAGGAATATACGTTTCTTATTCTTTTTACTTCTGACAATCATGCTTTTAGCACTAAATGTAATATCATAATCTATGCCATACTGCGTGAACAGACTATCAGTAGCCTAATAACCACTCTCAGAATGACCATAATCTTGATGACAGAATTCCTACAGTATACATGTCCTATACATAGCCTGTATTGTAGCTATTGGGTTAAGTTATGTTGAATACATGCATACATTAAACGAAACAGGAGTGAAAATGTCGTCTTTGACACATTCCCCTGCCATTAGTGTTGATTGACTACAGTTGAATTCTTAGTAATAATAAGCTTTATTTGTATAGCACCTTTCATACACAGAATGCAGCTCAAAGTGCTTTACATTTGGAACATTTAACACAATAATAGAAAAGAAAATAATAATAATAATAATAATAATAATAATAATACAATTATTACAAATGCTTAGGCCCCGTTGACTCTAAGCGGTTCGCCTTAGTATGTTTTTAGTATTTGTTGTGATTGTATGAATTTATATACAGACGTTTAAGGAACACAACGACCGGAAGACTGGCAGCCTTAACCTTTAACCCCCTACATAGGTTTGCAGAAAACTACATACAATAGGTTTTGTATAGATTTGTAAAAATGAACAATAGAACCATGAACTGATTGAGCTGATCGAAATGAAACAAACCGAACTGATTGAGAAAGAATTGATCAATAACTGATTAAGAGAACTTTTATGTATACTGGGGAAAGGAGTGTGGTGTGAGGAGCACTCACAGGTTGTGTGGTACACCCTTTGGTCTGCCTTGTCTGGAGTACCCATGTTCCTTTCTTGAGCTCTTTGGGGGTCTGCCAGCTCCAAGGGTTCTCCTACCACCCAAAGCTGCCTTTCTCCGGGACACCGCTGTCGGTTGGACACCTATAGTGGCACTCGTTTGAAGGAAGCCCCTCGGCCTTGCACGAACACTAGACTGCCCTCGATCGTTTTTCCCGAAGGAAAACAATGCTGACTGTACAGCACTGTCAGTGTGGAGCTTCCCAAATGTGTCCACAAAGGATTTCACTGGAGCAGTGAAGGTTGTATCCTCACGCAGCTTGCGCTTCAGGAGCCCAACAATGTCTTCAAGCTGCTTCTCCAGGAATGCTGTCTCCTCAACTTCCTCTGATGTGCCTAGACAAATCGAATAGCAATCAAGTCAAGTCAATTTATTTATATAGCACATTTTACGCAACAGTTGACCCAAAGTGCTTTACAAATGATTACATATGAAAATAGCAAAATATACCAAATAAGACAATACAGAATACAAAATGCCTGCATAAGAAATAAAATAAAGAGTACGTAGAATAATAATAAAGCAGTGGTGATAATAATAAAAACACACACACACACACACACACACACACACACATATATATTAACAAAAAAATAAAGATCATGTTGGAAGATAAACAGTCAAATGAACTCAAAAGTGAAGGGGGAAATAAAAGGTGGTTGCGATTAAGTGTACTAAAAGCTAGTACACTTTAACTTAAATTAACATTCAAATTAAATGCTGCCTGTGTCAGTGTGAAGACAAGTGGTTTATTATGAGGTTTTGGAGGGTGAACTTACTTGCTCCTGCTTCCTCAGCTAGATGGGACAGGGGGTCGTCTGTATGTAAATACATAAATAATTCTAAATCTTTCGACCTGACTTACATGCTGCACATATCTAGCATTTCTCCAGTGTAACACACATCATTATCTTACTGCAACACCGTTATTACCTGAGATGGTCTTTGGAGCTGGTCTAGTTGGTATTGTTTTTAGAGTAAATATACCTACTTTGAGCTTTCTCATACAATTATTTGACTTAAAATAAGTATCTTTATACTAAAAACAATACCAACTAGATCTTTTTATGTCAATATAAGATTATAACACTTGGCTAGATATCAGTTTTTGCAATGTTGAATTAAATGTTTGTACTCACCCACCACAGCCTTTTCATAAGCCAGTGTCTCAAACCAGTCCTCTGGAGTGCTACCCCCTGAGTGGAAAGCACACATTTGTTGTTGTTGGTGCATGTGTCAGTGTAGACTACATCTAATGACACACAATCCAAAATGTGATTACCTCATTATTGCACACAGCAAATTTACTGGGATAGCCATGTGTGAGAATGCACTCGTCCCAATAAAGTTGACCTGGCTACTACTTGTACCACCAGTGTCAATCTACCTCGAGACATTTTTTGTGGGAATTAAGTGGAATTAGTGTGAGAATGAGGCATACACAGCTTGTCACTTACCAGAGGCGATTCCATGGAAAAGCCGCCTCAGAAGAGATGTGGTGGTTACAGGGACTGCCTCTGTGACGTTAAATGTCTGCATAACTGCGCTTTGGTGCTTGCATGGAGCACCGGTCACACCAACTGGACAAGTGCAGCAACTTGCTAAGGTGTTTACATGGTACCAGCTGTTGCTTGATGCACTGGGCACCATGAAGTTGCTCTCATCCTCCTATTTTTAGGTACAGCACACATACTGGTATAAATAGAGTAGAGTACAGCATACTTACTGGTATAGATACTATAAATATTGATGGTTAAAATCACTAAAATAATAAACAATAGTAAATAGGTGTGCATGAGCCTGTACAACAGTCCTGTGCTTAATTTGTGCATCCTCTCTGCATGAGTTAAAGTGCATTGCTCACTGGGCCGCAGACTGGGCCGCAGACATACACACACATAACATTACTCGTATGGCAGTCCACATCACCGCACTTGGGAGGCCTTGACTGTAGACTTCCCATGCGGTTGTTGGTGAAAACGGTGAGGCACCTGATGTAGTAGGCCTCTAACCGTGTCACCATGAAGTCCACCAGCTGGGTGAGGTTACAGGCCTTCAGCCTGTGCAGTACTTTGTCCTTGACGATTCTCATGGCGCTTTCAACATAGTTGTTTGTATTGTGGCCATGTGTTAGCAGGTGTGACCGCAAGCACAGCGCCCTCTCATTCCGTCTCCCAAACACCTCTGCCAGATGTTTTGCGAAGTTTGGGTATTTTCTGGTTAAAGCACTGCCGGACAGCTGGGCATAGGCTGTGTGTAGCTCGGGTTCTGTGGTCTGATCTCCTTGGTGATTCTGCTGTGACTACTCCATAGCCACCGCCACATTGCCTGCAGAAGATGGAATGTGCAGAGCAAAAGACTTACGCCGGGGTAAACGACATGTAGAGCCTGGCGAAGGGCAGCACAGTCATCGGTCATGATTGTCTAGGGGCCGTCACCCTCGTGACCAAAGAAAGCGCCTGGTGGTAAAAGACCTTTCAGCAACCCAAACCCAGCAGCAAGGGTTGATGCACCCACAGATGTGGTGATAACCACACCGAGCGGAACCCCCCTGCAGCAGAGTGAGTCATCACTAGGAAAAGGCGGTGGTTCTGCCTGTCGCAGTTCCCAGAGGAGTCAATGAACACAAGCTCACAACTCTGCCGGACTCGTGTGTGGACCCGCTGCATCCGTGTTGTGCAGATCACCACCACAAACTGTCCATCCATGGCCTTCACGTCCGCACAAACACTGCCATGCTCGTTGTTAATGGCATCTATACGTGCCCTGAGGTCAGCAACCATTTATTCTCCAGAGGGGGCTCCATATTGTTGCTGGAAGATTTTGTAGTACAGCCTGTTGCGACACAAAGATGATCAGCACACATGTACGCACATACCTTTATCGATCGTCTGGAACGGCCTTTCGGTCTGCTGCTAAAAGGAAGTAGTTGTCCCCCTCTTCCTCTTGCAGGTCATACTTCAGAGTGTCCAGGGCAGATGAAGGGGAATGACCCTGCCTAAACAACTCCGTCAGCCGCTCTGCGGTGATGGCTGACACATCCCTCTTGCTGAGGGCATCAGCACAGGAGAGGCGATGATTGTGCTCATGCTTGACATAAAGGAGCTATCCCTCCTGCATATGCACATCTGTTGATCTATGGTAGACAGAATTAGTACTGTACATCTAACAATATCTACAATTGTTAGCTTCATTTTTAAATTTACCTTGACCTCCTGTCATCTGTGCTCCTTTTTAGCACAAGGAACAGGGTGGCAGGGCAGTTGGTATTCCTGGAGTTTTTCCCAGCTCCATAAGTCTTGTGCTGGCAACGGAAGTCAGCCTGTATGATACATGCAGCAATCAATAAGTCTGCTTGTGGTTCTGTTGTTCATGATTCATGTGTATTCCCCCTGTACTGCAATCAAACATAATGTAGAACCTCACATTGTCTCCCTGTATGTCCCTGTATGCTACCCTTCCATGCTGCACTTACTCTGTAAGCGTTATACCTCCCTGATTCAGGATAGGTTCTTGCTTTCCTCCACGTTAGGGTGGAGGAAGTCTGGAAATGCGCCAGCCATTTGTCCACCTCCTCTCTGGTCTCCATCCTCACTTTGACCTCTGCTCTGTAACTGTTTGCATCCCCGCTCGGCTCCATCACACAAATAAGGTGTGTGTAGCTCAATGGCAAAACTTTCTGTTATTCATAATGTCTGTGTAAGGACAAGGACAAAGTCAGTGTTGTTCTTCAATGTTATTAAAAAGTATTGCAAATAATTACTCTCAACCATTCACTTATTCCTAACCTCAAGCACTGCCAACTGCTCCGCATTGCCATGTGTCTGGCAAATATGGCACCATTTACCTGTCATACTGACGATAGATGTTGGTCTTTCTAATGAAAAAATACTGTGGAGCAGGTTGTGGGTTAGTCATACTGTGATATTGTGACTGTAAAAAATACACTCCAACATCGAACAAAGATTTTTCATGCCTTAGGCTACCTATCCAAGTGCAGTTTGCAGATAGGCTACTCTGTCAGTCTCTATGGGACAGGAAGGTATAGAGTAAATTGTAATATACATACACTAATGAAACAACCTAAACTCTAAACTACATATTGATACCTAAACTAGCCTATATTGATATCAAACAAGTTTTGACATTTCCCTCTTTCCTCCATACTTTGTTGCATCAAATATGACCATTATATTGGTAAGCCAAGGCTGATACATGTTGTTCTACATAGCCTTGCCATTAAGGGAATTGTAGAAGCCTATGCCCGCGAATTGTCAACATTCTATCTCCTCAGAGGGGAGAGCAGCATTCTCTTGCGTAGAGAGAAAAGGTCCTGTGGGCTGCGTAACTTCAACCCAGCGATGTCTCCCGAGCAGGGCCGGCCCAAGCCTCCATGAGGCCCTAAGAAAAATTTGATTTTGGGGCCCTCTATTACTGCCAATAATAATGATTATTGATCCTTCACACACCTACTATAAACGTATTCTACTTATTCTATTTGTACTGTCATTATGAATACACTTGTAAAACTAAATGTGAGAACTTTTTGTTGTAGTTAGATTGTAATCCACAGTGATTAATGCCATGGAAGCAGACACCAGATTTGCAAACTTCTGCAGTACACTGAGCAATTATAAAGGCTGTTTTGTTGTTAACTTACCACGTACAGCTGAGGTTGCAGAAGACACAGAGGGGACAGTGGGCACAGTGGATGGAGCAGAGGATAGAGATGGACCTGAGATGAAAAACATGTCCCTTGTCATATGATTATATTTTATATTAGTATATCTTAATGAGATAATTTGACTAGAAATGAAATATATATGGTGACAGTGTTTGATCACCTGATTCATCAGCCTTGGCTGCTCCTGAGGAGGTGGATTGCCCCTGGGCTGAGTCAGTGCCTCCTCCAAAATACTTTAACAGTGCTCCTGGGAAAGTTTCATATAACGTATGAGCATAATAGGGAGTTGATGTAAAAGGAATATGTTTATTTACTCACATAAATTACTGTGCTCTGCAGCAAACAATTGCAAACAACATACCTCAAACTATAAGTTAACTAAATGAATTCATTAATGCAAAACCATATTGCTAGCAAACGTGCGTTTGTAATTAACGTTAGTTATTAAACATTTGCTATCAAACGTTGTTATCAAAAACGTTTTGATGCCCAAGAGCGACCCAGAATAATATATATACACTGAGAATCAACTTATTCAAAGTATGACACAAACACAACAACGTTAGCTTGAATAGTAAGCTATCTAACCGACCCATAAGTAGTTAGACGTTTTGAACTAATGTTAGCTAGCAAATTTGCTATTAGAGGCTAACGTATTTTTTTCTCCTCTTCCTTTTTCTTCGTCTTCCTCTTTCTTTTTCTGCTTCAAACTGCGCGGTGAACGTCGGCGGTGCTGAAGGTGCATAGGGCGGGACTTGGCGTGGCCATAGTAGGATTCGTAAACTCGCCTCCGGCCCCTCCCCTTCGTTGCCGGCAGTTAGCTCCTTACTGCTACTGGCTTTAGCTTCATTTCTACCGTCAATATTAATTCAATAACTGCTTCTAAACCAAAAACTTCACCAGCGGACATGTTAGAGCGGGAGTCTGACCTGAAATCACAGAGAAATGAACAGTGACGTTTTCCTCAGGTAAATACTGCTATATTAATAATATATATATATATTAACCTCTATCTATCACATAATGTTAGTGTTTATACCTTAACTATGAGAACCAACAGTGTTTTATGCTTGTCTTTCCAGGTACAGCAGTGAGCAGTGACCTACAGTCTACACAGCCCAGTGAAGTTAAACATATTATATATTACATAATATTAACAACATTAGTCAAGCAGTTGTTTCTAGTGAAGAAACACCCAGTAAATGTACCAAAGTAATCAGAGTAATAGTATAATGATTACTGTAACCTCCCATCTGTTATATTCTTTATACACATTAGTTTACTGAGACCATGGAAACAGAAACCTGGAATACTTTATCCTGTACAACATGTCAACATAACTGAAGGAATCACTCATTTAATAAAGTAAATTGTTTATGTGGTTTAAAAACTGCCAAGTAACCAACTGTTAACAGTACTGTATCCATATTTAATAGTCTGATATTTTAACTTAAAAGTATTATTACCAAAGTTAACCTTCAGATATGTGTAAAAGCTGCAATTATGTTTGAACCCCATTAAAAATACTGTATACTGAATATTCTATCATTTATATTATATACTGTATTATGATGTAATTTATCTTCCAATGTAATAAAGTTTGAATGTGAGACAGTAATGTTTTGTGTTGCTTACATTCATTAATACAGGTTTAAATTTCACATTTTCATATTGATAGATGACCAGATTTTCAACTCTTTCAAAATCTTCATAAAACCTTTGTGAAATAACATGTTATTTATATAAAACCACACTTATTACTGAATTTAAAACTGACCAAAACTCTTCTTAAAAGTAAAACACTTTATTTATCTTTCATATTCCAGTTACACATGTTGTAAGTAACAAAGCTATAACTTTTATGTAAACTGTGCAGACTATGTCCTACATCAAGGTTTATGGTTTCTAGTATATTGAAGTGTGAGCTGGTAATGGAGCTCTGCAGTCAGTGTTCATCTTGTTGAGTCTTCCTTTGGATACCCAGACTGTCCTGATGCTGCAGCTGTCTCTGTCCTCTGATCGGTCCAGGAACACCTGAGCTTCATCAGGTCACCTGTAAAACAAGGCAGATTCAGTGTTACTTGTAAGGCAGCACATAATATACAGTATAATATAATATACAGTGTAATATAATACAATATAATATAATATACAGTGTAATATAATATACAGTGTAATATAATACAGTATAATATAATACAGTATGATATAATATACAGTATAATATAATATACAGTGTAATATAATACAATATAATATAATACAGTATAATATAATACAGTATAATATAAAATACAGTATAATATAATATACAGTGTAATATAATACAGTATAATATAATATACAGTGTAATATAATACAGTGTAATATAATACAGTATAATATAATACAGTATAATATAATATACGTATAATATAATACAGTATAATATAATACACGTATAACAGCTCATTGTGGCTCACAGTAGTCCTAAGTTATAAAATAAAATAATAAAGCAGTGTCTCAGCTAACTGTAGTGATGTGTTGTTGAAACAGTCTGAGGTTACCAACACAATGTCTATCTAATGGCAGCAGATACACACACAGGACATTTACTGACTGTAACTGATGTTGGAACAAGTTCCCGGTGCAATAACAGACATTTAGCAGTGAGCCTCAGTGTTTATAATACAATAGGAGATGATATGAGTATAGGATGTTACACTGGACCTACACTTATATCGTCAGTAATAGCAGTACTTCAGTAATGCTAAATAAATGGATCAGAAAACTTTTATTCATCGCGGTTTGACTCCACTAAACAACCTAGAGAGCAACCCCAGCTGCTGGGTGCTAATCAAAGTTACACAGTAATACTAAACTAATGAATCCCTGCAGTTTGACTATTTCTCTCTCACTGTAGCTCTATTGTTAACTCTGGTGCACGTTGATCAAGTTAATTTACACACCGTAACACACACACACACACACACACACACACACACCACACACCTGAAGCGAAGAACAACAAAGCTAACGCTAGCTGACATAACGTTAGCACGTCAGTACAAAGTCGCATAAAAAAGAATCACCATAACTTACTTATTCTGTTAGCTTCACTGAGGCTCCTGTAGCTAACAACTGTTAGCATGTGCTAGCATTACACGAACAATGAAAAACAGCATCAATTCTTAAAAATACTTCCAGTTACTTCCTCTGCCGTCTCTCCACAGACAGTTGGTACAATCCCTCTTTCAGGAACAGTCTTTCAGCCAGTCCACTGTTGTACTGACCGAGGTTGTGAAAGCAGTCCGACACAAAGTGGGTCACACACTTTCCGGTTTTTCTGACTCTAGCCGGACATTGTAAAAAATAATTTACATAAATGTACATATGTAAATGTGTGTTGGGCTGTGCAGCCAATGACTGAACAGTTTGTCTGCTGAGGCCTTTGCCCAGACATCAGGCTGCAGGCTGCAGGCTGCAGGCTGGGCTTGCTGGTTCTCCTAGCTTGCCTTTTATAGTAACAAGGCGGAGCTCCGATAGTCAACAGGAAGTAAAGTGAGGTGGGTGGCAACAGGCTGAGCAAATGACGTCAAAAACTCTGGACCTCTGAACCTGCGTGATTTATCTCCTATATTCTGACTGAGGCAGCCCACAAAAACATGACTGAGTCATTTTTGTTCACACTTTGCCTGCTGATAGGCCCTCCAGAGTCCCAAATGTACATAATCAAATGATTAAAAAGTTGGTTTTGCATAATATGTCGCTTTTAAGAAAGCTGAATTGAGATCTCTGGGTGACATAAAACCATGCCCAAAGAGTGCATCAAGGCACAAGATTCTAGCAAGCATCTTGATCATAGTGATAACTAGACGTAGCATTTTACTATATGGTCTGATGTTTGAACCCAAAAAAACATTGAAATACTGTGTTGGACGCCCCAAAACTAACTGTACACGCAAGGAATCCCTAAAATATCTGTAAATGGAAGTTAAGTGATTCAGTGATGACAACTTATCAAAACCCATCAGAGCACAGAGACTAATACTCAACCCAGGAAAGATGGTGCTCGATTCCAAGGGTTCCCAAACTAATGCATACAAGGACATTTCATGTTTTATCATATTTAGCAAATAACATATTACAAATAATTATAATATTTAATCATGTCTTAGATTTTGCTCAGGTAGTAGAGCAAAGTTAATGTGTACTGTGTCATTCATATAGGGCATTTTTAAATGATTCGAAACTTGACAAGATATGACAAACTTGAATATGTACTGTTGAGAATGTTTTGTCCATTGTACTGAATGTTTTATTAATTTCAATGTGTAATTTTGTAGGATGGTACAGTTTGCTCCTTCTAATGGCCTTCGTCCTGAGGCATAACGGATTTTCCATGAACTTTTCCCTGCACTGATACCAGCAACCTCTTTTCTCTTCCATAAATCCTATGGCCAATATGGTGAGTATGTGCCCCATTTCTACTGCCATCAGTGTTCAAATTATATTGGAACAAAAGATTGTGGTTTGACACAGTGTGTTCTGTGTGAGGCAGAATTTGATGTGGATGCGAGTCTAGAAAAGGGTTCATATTTTTTGGTGATCAGTTTATCTTTGCAAATTAAAGAGATTCTGGAAAATCCCAACATCAAAATCCAAACACATAGATCAACTCCAGGTTTAATTTGTGATGTGCAATGTGGAGGGGAGTATAGGAGGCTAAAAGACAGTGGAGAAATAGGTGATGATGATATCAGTCTGATCTGGAACACTGAGGGATCCCTGTTTTTAAAAGCTCTAGATGCCAAATATGGCCTATTCAGTGTCAAATCATAGAACTACATCCTACAGACAGGAAGAACAACACGTGTTCCTTGTCTTTGGTTTGGAGAGAGCAAGCCTAATACTCTCTCTCTTAATTCCATTTGTAAAACAGCTGCAGGAACTTGAAAGTCATGGGATCACCTGGGGAGATGGTTGCACTTCAAAGGTGCATGCACTTGTTTGTAGTGCAGATTCAGTTGCAAGGCCACTTCTGCAAAATAAGAAGCAGTTCAATGGTATTTATGGATGTGACTTCTGTTACCATAGAGGTGGAGGCTCATATCCCTATGTAAGTCCTGAACCCCGTCTGCATACAGAAGTTGAGCATTTTGACAATGCTATGAATGCAACACAGCAGCCTATCATGGAGTGAAAGGCCCAAGTCAACTAATGAAATTTGACAAATTTCAAATGGTGCGAGGCTTTGTTCCAGAATATCAGCATAGTGTATGCCTTGGAGTTACAAGACAGCTGACTTCTCTGTGGTTAGATTCCACAAACCATCAGCATGGTTGGTACATAGGCACCCAAACTGAGCAGATCGATGAAGAGTACCACAATCTATGCGAGAGAGAAAGTTCTGGAAGGCGTCTGAGTGGAGGTCGTGTCTTTTGTTTAATGCTTTGCCTGTTTTAAATGGCATCCTCCCCAGAAAATACTGGAATCATCTTTTCCTTTTGGTTTTTGCAGTCTATCATCTCCTGCAAAAAAGGATCAGAGAGGCCGAGGTGGTGATAGCCGAGCAGGCATTGAAAAAATTTGTCAGGGAGTTTCAGGGGTTATATGGCACAGCTAATGTGTCATTTAATGTGCACCTCATGACACACTTGGCTGTGAGTGTGAGGAACTGGGGACCACTGTGGGCCACATCCACATTTTCCTTTGAATCTTTTAATGGCACAAGTCATGTCCCTGTCCAAATAATGAAAAGGTACCTTAGGGAGAAAGATCTTTTCTCTGAACTACAGGGCAGAAAGTGTTCTACTGACAAATCAGTTCAAATAGAGCATCCATACGCGGCACAGAAGTCCGGCATCTTTTCATTCACAAATCTTCTGTCAGAAGCTCCTCTGCTGATAACATTAAGTAGAATTTGTATTTGGGTAGTAAAACCAGCATTTTAAAATATCCAAGCACCCTGTATCGTGTGAAGTTTTTAACAAATCAATATGTTTGGAAATCGGTCCAAAATTCAGCGAATAATTCTACTTTGAGATTGAGGAGTTCCTCTTTCCTTCCTAGGTTGATGCACCGCTGCCTCTGCTAGCCCTGTTACAAGATGGCCGCCCTGTAGGCACGCTGCTCTAGTGGGCGGCAGCAGTCGATGCGGCATCTATGTATATATGTCTATGATAACATAAGTTAACTTATATAATCTTCGTGATTTATAATGAGGTTTGTTGGCTGTTTATCTGCTGTGAAGGTGTAATTGATTATTGTGTTTACATGTGTCATTTTTGGTTTATTCAATCAAACTGTAGTGTGTAGCTGTATATACTGTATGCTTGGTTATAGCACAAGATGTATGAGACATGCACACAGCATTATTTTTGTTAATTTATTTTTTCTTTCTTTAACCTGTTCTTACAGGTTGACCAGCAACATGATTCCACGATCAGGTTAATATTGTAGTGATGGAAGTTTCTGTAAGCGTCTATAAGTGCCGCAGATGGGTTTACATTAGAGTCAATAGAAAGTCCAGTGCGTCCCATACATCCGCATATGGTACCCTTCAGCGGCTGTATGGGATGCCAAAGAAAAAGAGACAAACGAGTTGGGAATGAGAACGGCTTGGAGAAAGTAGATTGTAAGGAAAAGATGTGGGAAAAGGGGATATAGTAAGAATTACTTTTACTCTAATTTTTTTGCCTATAACATATATTTGGACAGTGGGAGGAAACCGGAGCACCCGGAGTAAACCCAGACGGACTTGGGGAGAATATTTAAACTCCACACAGAAAGGTCTGGCCTGAACTAGAACCTGACTGTGAGGCACCAGCGCTAACTACTAATGCCCCCATGGTGTCGTCAAAAGAGGGTATAAAAGATGATTAACAGGAGATTGAAACAAAGGGTGGGAAGAATAGGTGCAGGAAAAAGATGTAGGGAAGCCGTGGGGAAAGGAGGAAATAGGAAAATATATGGGGAAATGGGATGTAAGGAAAAAATGTAGGTAAAGGCTGAGGTCGGGAAAAAATGTGGGGAAATGAGGAAAGAAGGAGCACCGGGCTTTCTATTGACTCTAATGTAAACCCATCTGCGGCGCTTATAGACGCTTACATAAACGTCCATCACTTCAATATTAATCTGATCGCAGAATCATGTTGCAACATTATTGGGACAAAAGAGTATAAAGTGAAGTTAGTTAGTTATGTTAGCTGCACAATTAGACATCGGCACCGTCACATTAGAAACAACACTCCTTCAGTGACAGGCATAAGGAAAGAGGTCTTGATTAAAATACAGGGCTTTATTGCTGGTCAACAAGTGATAACGGGTTAAAGAAAGAAAAAATAAATTAACAAAAACAATGCTGTATGCATGTCTCATACATCGCGTTGTAACAAAGCATATATACAGCTAGACACTTTACAATTTGATTGATAAACCGAAAATGACACATGTAAACACAATAATCAATTACACCTTCACAGCAGATAAACAGCCAACAAACCTCATTATATATCACGAAGAGTACATAAGTTAACTTATGTAATTATTACAACAACTGTGGAATCGGCATTCTCTTTCAAGGGCGAGTTTTTAAAGTTTCATCCCAGCGCTACAAGGCGCTCGGGCGGAACAAATAATACATTTCCATCTAGCTGTATGTTTACAGCTAGACAAATAATTAGTTCTGTCTAGCTGCACAGCTAGCTGTAGACAGATCTGCTAGACGGAAATGTATTATTTGTTCCGCCTGAGTGTTTTGTCCGAGCGCCTTTTATCGGGTGAAACTTTGAAAACCCGCCCGCGAAAGAGAATGCCGATTCCACAGTTGTTGTCATAAATACATAAGTTAACTTATATAATCTTTGTGATATATAATGAGGTTTGTTGGCTGTTTATCTGCTGTGAAGGTGTAATTGATTATTGTGTTTATATGTGTCATTTTCAGTTTATTCAATCAAACTGTAGTGTGTAGCTGTATATACTGTATGCTTGGTTATAGCACAAGATGTATGAGACATACAGCATTATTTTTTTTTATTTTTTTTTCTTTCTTTAACCTGTTCTCACTGGTTGACCAGCAATTAAGCCCTGTATTTTAATCAAGACCTCTTGCCTCATGCCTGTCACTGAAGCTTTATGTGTTGTTGCTAATTTGACAGTGCCGATGTCTCATTGTGCAGCTAACATAACTAACTTCACTTTATACTTTTTTGTCCTAATAATGTTGCAACATGATTCTGCGATCAGATTAATATTGTAGTGATGGACGTTTCTGTAAGCGTCTATAAGTGCCACGGATGTGTTTATATTAGAGTCAATAGAAAGCGCGGTGCGTCCCATACAGCTGCATATGGTACCCATCAGCGGCTGTATGGGATGCCACAGAAAAAGAGACAAACGAGTTGGGAATGAGAACGGGTTGGGGAAAGTAGATTGTAAGGAAAAGATGTGGGAAAAGGGGATATAGTAAGAATTACTTTTACTCTAATTTTT